CTCTCCCCCCCCCCTCTCTCTCTCGCTCTGTCCACTCCTCTCTCTCTCCGGTTTCGATCTCATCCACCAAGATGAGCAACTCCGGTTCGAAGCTCAACTACGAGGAGGAGATGGCCCTCCGCATTGTGCTGGAGCGGTCCAAGGTGGAGACCAGTGGCAACTCCGGATCTGGAGCGTCGCCGCAGCTCCCGCGTCGCCGCAACGCGGACCCCGGAGCTGGACCCTTCCTGCCCACGCGTAGCGACACAAGGAGAGCACAGTCCGCGCCCGCCACTCCTCCATGCGGCCATCGCTGGGTGCTTGTGCCTGCGCTGCCGGCCTGCACATGCACTCCGGAGCCGGAGGTGCGCGCCACGCGCTGCGAGAGGCAGTGTGCATGGAAGAGGGACATGGCGGAGCAGTCCGCGCGCCACCACCGCGGGACGGATGCGGACGCCGATGAGGACACGTGTCTCCTCGCATGGGTCTACCGCCACTCCCTCACGACGGTGGAGACAGACGCTCGCCGCCTCCGATGGAAGAATGCCAAGGGGCTCCGGCTTGCTATTGAGCAGTTAGAGTGCGAGGCGAAGGAGGCAGCGGTATAGAAGGCTCAGGTGGCAAGGTTGAAGCCGGAGCAGGACAGGACGTCCGTCGGATGAAGGGGCTCATCGTCCTCTCCGACGACGGCGACAACTGCACCTCCTCGTCGGACGACCAAGACCCTCCACCAGCCGCGGACCTACAGCTGCGCCCGCGACCGGAAGGGCAAAGGCCCACGAGGAAGTGGTGATTCCGGCCTCCCTCCTCCTCAATGTTTATATCGTTTTTAGTTGTAGAAGTTTAAGAACTTGTTCGGGGACGAACTACGATCTTTTGGATGTGGTGAAGTATGTTAATGTTCGTTTGCAGCTGATTTTGTGTTCCTTTGCAGCTGATTTTTGGTGTCCGTCGTTTGATCACGTAAGATAGATTAACATTTGCATGTGTAATATGGATATAAGGTGTCGGATATGAGATACGCGGATGCAGAGTGATAAATATGAGGGGTGGCTGGTCAGTGCCCGAGGATGCGCCCGAACACATTCGCGGACGTTTAAGGGGCCGAATTTGCCAAATCCAGCTATAGATGCTCTTAATGGGTGCACTCGACCAGACGTTGGTACAGGCGAGCGCAAGCCGACAACGGCAATCAGTAGAGGCCATCACACTATCACTGTAGAGGCCATCACATTATCACTTTGTGCCCAAATTGAAACAAGTATAGCAGAGAAAGATTACAAAACGAATCGCAGAAAGTCAGAAGTAGACTATAAAGCAATTTAGGCAACTGGTTTCAAACTGTTTAGAGCACTGTAACAAGCTTAAACATCTTATATAAGTGACCAGAGGGAGTACCTAAGAACCTAAGAGATCCATCATCATTAATTATTTATCTAAACGTGCAGTTATTCACGTCACCATACATGCCCCACTCAGCCACTATTGCTCATGCGGCCACGTCATTCTCTTTTACCTCGCACGCCCTGTTATCGTGAACTATAAGTCAGAAATTTTCGTAGATGTTTTAACAAAAATGATACACCTACGTAACTCTGTTACATATGCTACGTAATCTTTCTTCCACCTAACTAAACGCCCCCAGTTAATATTCAATTAAACATTGCCATGTCATCCATTACGTAGGATATGTAACAACCAGCCCGTAGATGTAGCATTGCTCATGTTTTAATCATGTCTGGTACTATGGTTGATTGAAGATTAACAGGGTTCTATGGTATCTCGCGGTGCCTACGGGTTGCTACGATGGAGCTCACCATGTCAGTGCGGGCTGCAATGAAACATCACCGACGGTATCGGATGCTGCTGTGACGCTCATTGCATCGCTGCAGTGAATCATCACCGATGGCGTCGTGTGCTGCTATGGAGCTCGTCGCGTCGACGCGAGCTGTAGTGAAACATCACCGACGACTTCAGGTGCCTGCTATGAAGCGCCGCAGGGTGGCCTTTGAAACATCGCCGGATTGCACTGAAGCGCCCCCGCCGGGCACTGTAAGTGCTGCGCGGCAGTGCCATGGGCTGCTGCCATGGACTGATGTGTGGTGTGTTGGTTGATCCTGCGACTGGGCTGGGGAGCGTGTGATCGAACGGCTCTGGGGGCGTCTATATTTGTAACAAATCAATCGGATGATTTGTAGCACCCGCCATAAGACTATCCACAATGGGAGTAACGTAGGTAGTAGCATCACACATATCTAGACAAAATAGATGATGTGGCAAACAATAAATGAAGAAAGAGAGGAAAGTGGTAACATAGCTAGTTACTAGTAGTATGAGACTACCCACTATGGGAGTAATATATGTGGTAACATCACACTTATCTAGGCAAAATAGATGATGTAGCATGTAATTAATAAAGAAAAAGAGGTATGTGATAACATAGCTAGTTACTGTAACATCACACGTGTCAAGAAAAGATGAGTCTACAACCTAATAAATGAAGTGATGCATGACACAACACATATGTTACTACCCACTGTGGAGGTTGTAACATAGACTAGTAACATATGCATGTTACTACTCTAAGTTACTACCCACTGTGACTAGTCTGAGTAACATCACACATATCAAGGCAAGATGAGTTTATAGCCTAATAAATGAAGTGTTGCATGTTATTACACATATGTTATTTCCCACTATAGAGCTATTAACATATGCATGTTACTAGTCTATGTTACTACTAGTCTAAGAAACACCATTTCGTGCGATGGTGGCGGTGGGTCCGTGAGACGAGCCTCTTAGGCCAATTCCACCGCGCGACTCCAAACGGACGTCCGTTTTGTCCGGATTCTGTCCGTTTGGGTAGCGATTTGACGTCGTGTTCAAGCATGTCCTGAGATGCGGTGGCCGTGCGTCCAGAGCGCGGGCGCATCCATTTGCCCCATCCTGTCCGTCAGGGCCAAAAATGCCCATATTCTCATCAAAACTAATTTGCACATGCAAATATTTGTCTGAAAATTAAAATAGTTTTACAACCCAATTGAAATTGTCCTTAATAAAAAAGTTTTACAACCAAATCGAAATTGTCTTGACTGAACATAAAATGAGCCAATACGTCTATTGGTTGCCAATGTGATCCCACATGTGCTCAACCAAGTCATTTTGAAGATTCAAATGACTGTGCCAATCACGCATCTCACGGTGGAATTGCACAAATTGTTCAAATGTGGCCGGGTCTTGGTGCAGGGGCTCAATATTTTCACCTTGATAATCAAATCCTTGGTCGAAGATACTCTCATCACGCTCGTCCTCGACGATCATGTTGTGCATGATCACACAAGCAGTCATCACCTCCCAAAGCTTCCTTTCATCCCATGACAGTGCAAGGTTTCGAACGATACCCCACCGGGATTGAAGCACACCAAAAGCGCGTTCCACATCCTTTCTAACACTCTCTTGCATTTGGGAAAATCTCTTTCTCTTCTCACCTTGGGGTTTCGAGATTGTCTTCACAAAAGTTGACCATTGAGGATATATATCATCAGCTAGATAGTATCCCTTGTTGTACTGGTGGTCGTTGATCTCAAAGTTGACAGGTGGGGAGTGGCCTTCTGCAAGCCTTGCGGAGACTGGGGAACGCTGCAGCACGTTGATATCATTGTGAGAACCTGCCATGCCGAAGAAAGAATGCCATATCCAAAGATCCTGCGAAGCCATCGCTTCTAATATGACAGTGCACGCGTTGACATGCCCCTTGTACTGGCCCTGCCAAACAAATGGACAGCTCTTCCACTCCCAGTGCATACAATCTATACTGCCAAGCATGCCTGGAAAGCCTCTAACTGCGTTGGTCGCCAACAATCTCTCTGTATCAGCTACAATTGGCTGCCTCAAGTACTCTGAGCCAAACCTCGATCACAACCTGGCAAAACTTGTAATTGACATCAGACATGCTGTCTCACTCATACGCACATACTCATCCACTAGATCGCCTGGAATTCCATATGCAAGCATGCGGATGGCCGCGGTTCATTTCTGGTAATAGGAGAATCCAAGCTTGCCAAGGGCATCCGTCTTGCACTCGAAGTATGGGTCATGAGCAACCACTCTCTTTCGGATACGATTGAACACATGCCTTGCCATTCGAAAACGGCGATGGAATTTATCCGGCTTAAAGAGCGGGGTGTTGGAAAAGTAATCGGCATAGAGCAGGGCGTGGCCTCTCTCCCTGTTGCGGTTCAGGTTGGGAGCACGGCCAGGGACTGACCCCCTGTACCGAGAAAGCTGCCGCTGAATATGGTCGTGAACGACCAGTGCAGCCACCAAAAGATCGTCATCATCCGACGACGAATCGTCCGATGAACAAAGGAAGTGATGGAAGAAAAACTCGTTTCCATTGTCCATACCTTTGTTGGCTAAATGTCGAACACCTTGCGGTCGTGGTAACGAAGAGGCCGCGATGATCACCTCGACGCAGCAGGGATGGTTGCCGGCCGGCTACTGGCCACTCTGGATCTCTCGTCGGAATCTGCCGCGGCCGACGTGGTACGTTGCCGGCGGTCGTGCCCCCTCTGCTACTGGCAAAGACGACGACGACCAAACCTCCTCCGATCGACGACCAAAACTACGGCGAAAGCGCAGACGTGGTGGTGGTCATGTCGAGACGTGGTTTGGTATGGACGGCCGGGGGGCTGCGCGGTGAGGAGGCGTCCGGAGAATAGCGGCGGTGCCGGCGGCATGGCAGGGCGGGGAGAGAGGGTGGAAGCTAGTGTCCCCGCCAGGCGGGCCACGGGGGGACAAAGCCGTGCGTTGAGGCCGTCCGCGCGCGTCCGTTTCACCCCAAACCGAGCGCAAGTTTGGACCGGGGATGGGTCGAAAACAGACGGAATCCGGACATTTGTCTGTTTGAGTCGGCGCGTTGGGCCGTGCTATTTGTCTGTTTTATCCCAAACGGACGCACCGGACAAGATAGGGTCGCGCGGTGGAGTTGGCCTTATTTCTTCCCCAGATTCCCAACTGGCATGTCCCTGATCCCGCGCGCTGCTCCGGCGGCGAGCATGGCGTTCGCCGGACGGGACCCCGCTGTCATCTCCCTCCTCAAGATGCTACCGCTGCTCGTGCTCCTCACCTTCTCCTCCGCCGCGGCGCCCCCGGCGGCGGCGTCACCCTCCGCCGTGCACAACAACAACTGGGCCGTGCTCGTCTGTACCTCTCGCTTCTGGTGAGCCATCATCTATCATGCCTGCGCCTTACCGCCTCGCCGCTCGTTGCTGCCTACTTGTCGCATCATAAATTTGCTGTGGATCAACGCAATTGTAGTGGGTTCAGGTTCACTGTGCTAAATGTAGCAGTGAGAGGTCTAAAGAAGCTAGGGTTTTGATGTAAGTGCTGAAAAGTACGCACGATTGATAGAAGTATCTGGATCCAATTGCTGTATGAATCAGCTTATTAATTTGTCTGTGTATCAACGAGTTTGTCCATCCCCTGTTTGCGAAGTAGTATACTCTATCGATGTCAGTGTATGGAGTGATTTAATTTTTTCTCACTGGTTGGAATCCATTTTGTAGTACCTTTACTCTTCTGATTGCGACATAGCTTAATGTTGTCATCATGGTGGAGCCAGCCTGTTCGTAGAGCCTGAGCAAGGTCTAATGGTGACCGCACTGGGAAACATTTGCCCATGAAGCTCTCTATCGAATTCTCCCTCCCTGTAATGACTTCAACAGAGGATCCAGGCTGAACCTGGGCAGCCTCCCAGGGTCGGCAGGGGTGGCTCTATCATTTTCTCGGCTGGTATGTGATACTAATAATAATGATGACTTAAAATATTTAAGCCGTGATGTAAGTTCAGCAAGCACAAGTGTCTTTTGACAAACATTTTGGTATGAACACTTGCACAATTGTAGTTTTTCCTTGAATACACAGAAGAAGAACGCCAAGAAGGCACATATGCACACAATTGTAGTTGTGTTAATGCCAGCTAATTTTTTTAGAAGTTTTCCTTTTGATACGGAAGTTTTGTTCCCATCTACCAATAGCATTTGAATATGTCCTTATGCTTTTATATTATCTGGTTGATGTTGGGTCCCGCTGCTTATCCCTGTTGTCACTTAAATCTGATCTATTATCCAAATGTTATGCAGGTTTAATTATAGACATATGGCCAACACGCTGTCTTTGTACAGGTAGTATACTAATTATAGTTATGCCGTTATATGCAAATATGAATCTATGTCCTATGTAAAGGTTATTCCTTATTAGTAAATATACCCTTTTTTTCCAGGACTGTTAAGAGATTGGGAATACCTGACGAGAGGATAATACTTATGTTGGCTGATGATATGGCTTGTAATCCTCGGAACAATTATCCTGCCCAAGTGTTCAACAATGAGAACCACCAGCTTAATCTTTATGGTGACAATGTTGAGGTGAATCTCTTTACTCTGAAAATATTGTTGCTGAATCATAACATTGTAGTTTGATAATCCCTCAGGTTGGCAATATTTTCCCTAGCCCATGATGTGCATGTATCATTGATACCAACGAGGTACCAAATCTACGAAATAGTTTATGATATTAAAGCATGCATACCCATTGTAAATGACCCTCTACGGTTCTTAACCTCTTTTACAACAAGTAGACACCTTGTTATATTGCAATACCTACAATCCTGATTTTCCCACTGAAAATATTATGAAACAACGCCTCCTAAAAGATGGTCAAATTTTGCAAAGTGATGGATACTTAAGACACTCGACACAGTTCAATATGGTCAGTTAGGTGATTTATGAAAGGTGGCAGCTGGCAATCCTTAAAGTTGTCCACTCATAATGCTATGCAATCTAGTCTTATTAAAAACTAATATCTTATCTTGCTATGCTGATTACTCTTTTGGTTTTCTAATGACAGGTTGATTACCGAGGTTATGAGGTTACAGTTGAAAACTTTTTGCGAGTTTTGACTGGAAGACATGAGAGCGCTGTACCAAGATCAAAGCGTCTCTTAAGTGATGAAGGAAGCCATATTCTTTTGTACATGACTGGACATGGCGGGGATGAATTTTTGAAGTTCCAAGATAACGAAGAACTTCAGAGCCATGATTTAGCAGATGCAGTAAAGCAAATGAAGGAGAAGCATAGGTTGAATTTTTTAATCATCAACATTTGGATGTTGGCTTGTGCCTCTTTGTTTCTGGGTTCGTGTACTGACCTTTCACCTTGGCCTTCCTTTCAGATTTAAAGAGTTGTTGATAATGGTAGATACCTGCCAGGCTGCTACTCTTTTTTCACAGGTTCGTTTCAAGTTGCTACAAGTTCGTCTTGACATATACCGAATTACTGTTATACATATTATCCATTTCATTTTGTAATCGCTCAAAATGTCTTTTACATTTTGGGTATCCTTCACAAATGTTCTTATATTGTTAGCAAGTGCGCAAACTATAGCATGTTGTACATCTATGAATTTTCTTCACATTTTTTGTTTTGTTTTGGGCACAGTTAGCTCTGGGTTCATCATTCTGAATTTATTTTTCATATGACCATATCATAGTATACACTTATGTAACATTCGTTGTTGCTGTACATCACTTTTTAGTATGAAATAGCTGTTTGGCATATGGGAGTGGCAAATGCTGCATATGGTGTTTGTGCTATATGGTATGCTAACCACTTGTGTTTCATGATTTGAATAATAGTTCACATAATTATAGAATCAGCCGATGATCTGCGCTGCTAGAGTGGACTTCACCCTTTCGACTTTTTGTATATCTGAAAGCTCTATCTAAAGGCTGTACCTGATATATCTAGTATCCACAGCTTCAATCACCCGGTGTTTTGGCGATTGGTAGCAGCATGAAGGGGGAAAACTCTTACTCTCACCATCTCGACTCAGACGTGAGAACATGCCCTATACAGTTATTTCAGATAGTATTTGCAAACTTATTTTACCTTATTACTTTGTCATGAAACTGGTTAATGTTATACATTTCTGGTGGCAGATTGGTGTTTCTGTTGTGGATAGATTTACCTTCCATACACTTGCTTTCTTTGAGAAGCTGAACATGTATAGCAATGCTTCATTGAACAGGTAAATTATACTTTACATGCTCTTCTCTTGAATTATGTATCTCGGTTGAAAGTTCATCAACTATCTATATGAGAAGGTGCTGGTCTTACTGCGATGTGTAACTCCTGAAAAATAGTCATTTACTTTTCTTTGTTTGGTGTTAAACTTTGTGTTATGCCAGATGATGATCTAACTGTGATGTACAATTTGCTTCACTGTTTCTATATTAAGATATAGTTGATGTTCTTGTTCAGTTTTCATATTTCTATGTAATACGATGTGAAACTAGTGAGGATTTGAGCTCCCCGATAGACGTAGGGCCCGCTCGGTACGCTGTCATTGTTTAGGGGGGTTCTTAATTCTAGCATGAAAGTCCGAGTTAAAAGCGATCATCATTCGAACACGCCGCGTTTTACTGGGAAGGATCGAACCATGGGAACGAATGAACAGGGCTATCACCTCCAATGGCATTTTCGGTAAATGAAAGCAAAGCGAAGCTTTACGACCAAGGAGAGATAAGCATATTAATGTGCTTTCTTTCGAACTCACATAAAATAATTGAAATAACTGCAGGCTAATCAGATTGCAGTGAACTTAAAAAATTAATTCAGACTGTTTTCTGTATTCACAAGAATTAGGAGTCAGTTGTGTCCTCTATTCTTAATTACGCGCAATAGCACTCAACTAGATTCAATCTTATGTTTCTACACACAATGTACCTGGGTGGTTACAACCTTGCCTTTTATGTTCCAGTCTTTTCAACTCATACGACCCTTCTATGCTGCTGTCTACTGCATATTATCGAATGGATCTTTACAAGCGTGCATTAAACGAGGTAATGGAAAGATATATCTATTTCTAATGGCTGCTATGTTGTCCACGACTAAGCCTTCTTTTCCTTTTATCCTGTCCTTGACCAGGTCCCAGTGACAAATTTCTTTGGATCAGTCATGAAGACTATCCACACTGATTCAGCCTACACAGGCTTTCTAGCTGCACATGACGCGGAACTCCCCCTTTCTGCAGGAAATAATATACTTGATCATGTCATGTCACAGAATGAGGCTAGTGCAAGAAGATCGAACATAGAAGAGATGAATGTGAGTTTTAGTAAGTTTTGCATTTCATTTATTTGAGAGACTAATACTTTGTGAATTGCAACATCCAGGAGGCACAATTAATGTCCCATGGATGGACAGAGGTCCTGCTAGAGCAGCTGGAAGACAAAAATTCTGATGTTGTTGTGATGTATGGTCTGGGAACTATGGGCATATTGCTGGCAATTTCAACCTGGCTATCAATGTAGGAACTCTGAAGTGTGCTCTTAACACATCATCTTCTTGCAGAAAAACTTAGTCATACTAACTTTCACAGGATGGGACCAAGAAGAATGAAAAGAAGAGAGATACTTTGGCGGTCAACGTTCTGTATTTCCTTTTTACCTAATCATAGCATCCATTCAGTTTGGAACAAATTGTTGTATGTAGTTTTCGCATGGTACCCTCTACTTTTTGGATACGTAGCTCGATATGTTTCGTAGTCATTTTTATGCATCTGTGCTCCTGCATCACATATTGTACCTGTCAGATTATTTCATTGCTACTTGAAAATATTTCCATGTAGCATATAATCTGGAGTTTGATGACCTCGGCTAGATCTGGATATGAATATGTACCCCAAACTTAAAATGCTGAGTGTTCTTTTAGTCCAAGATAATACACTTCATTCAGTCTGGAATTGTTCAGCACTTGGCAGGTCGTCTTTTATTTGGACTAGATATATTACAATATTTACTCCATTTACCACCTACAATTTTCAGTTTAAGGAAAACTCCATTACCCCCCTATGCAGTCCATTGCATCTTATAGCGACTTTTGCCTTGATGCCTACTTTATGTGCTATTAGAGGTTACTTAAGGCCAAATGTGTATATCTGTATGAAGATTTTTTTTTCATAATATATGATTAATTTTATCTTTGTATGCATTGCTCTGTATGTGAAGTGTCGCTATTGTTTTCATTACTGCATAATACAACCGAAAGGTGTGTTTTTTATGCTCAAGTACAGAACTAATAAGCTGGTCATGGGCCTCATAGGACGGTATGCACAGAAGCTGTGCACCCAGTAGAACCGTGGACATGCTGCTAAGGCAAATGAGATGAGCATAGATTATGTTCCATCAGGGAGCATTGCACACCTGCATGTGCTCAGTGGTATCTATGCCACTAGTTGGCATGCCATTAAGAAATTACCGTCCTTTGTGAAAATGTTTGATAGGCTTCTTTATTCATAAGATTATGCTATTTGTCATGTCAGGGTTTTCAGTTGGATGCTGTATTTTATTGATTACGTTAATGCCAGAATCATGTATCTCTTGTTTTGAGCGGTTATGGCATGCCGATTATTATAACTTATGGAATTATGAGGTATATGCTATAGAACTCTGTCAAACGGCAAATAGCAGTTATAAACTCATTTGTAAACCACTAAACAATGAGAAGATTGGCATTTCCTCTGATAAGACTGGGAAGTCTGGTGCTTCTTCTCAGCAAGCTGAGCTGACTGTTTGTGGCTGCAACCTATGCATGACTGGGATCAAGAGAAGGGAAAAATTCTTGAATATCACTGATGGGTCCTTCCTCTATATATTGAGCTCAGGAAGAAAATCCACATGGGTTATCGATGATAAAAAGTTTGTGCCCATGTATTTTGTCATCACCTATGTTTGAGGGTCCTTTGTATTAATTATTATTGACCTTATTTTGGCCCTGGTATCTGTCCTATTTATGTTGTGCCAAAGTAGGAATGGCTGTCCATTGTGGCAGTAGCCGAAAACTGTCCACCAGACATCGATATTGTCATGCCTATTGAAGGACTTTCATGCACCTACAAGAGTATGCAACAATGGGGAAAAAAGAGTGCCGATTGCACATCTACCAGATCTGTTATACTATATATTCTGACCTTAGAGCGACCTGAGTTCAGGACAGCTCCAGTACTTATTGTACAATAACAACACAGTGGGTGGTTTAGGGTGCAGTTTTGGATGCATTGCTGCATAATATTTTCTATAAATCAGATCCGATTGGTGGGTGCAAGTTATTACTGGAGTTATGAGCGAAAATCTGAGCAAAAGAGTGTTTGCTGTCTCAGCTGTTCTCTATCAAGGCATGGTCCCAGAGATCTACACTTCACCTCAGCAAATATCTGGATGCCACTATATTAGATGTCTTTGCTGGATGCCCATTGCTCAGTAATACTAGCAGTTAATTGTGTTGTCCTTTCTGGAGCTCAGTTGTTCCTTGTACTGACTGAATAGTTGCAGTGTGTCGCAGGGAGATAAACGAGCATGTGGATGAGCCGCAGGGCCGAACAACCATAATGACAGCAATGAGAAATCTTGCATGGAGATCGGCGTGCAGGTTACCTGGGTATGGATCTGTGGCATTTTCTGGACTCCGATACCGGCCGGTTGGCTATATTTGGAAGAAGCCGAAGCTTGAATTGGTTGTAGTGGGGCAGTACACATCACGGTGATCATCTTGCCACCAACTCTGTTATGTCAACCACGAACCAGTATCCCGGATGGTGTGCAGGGCGTTTCCAGTAATAATTGGCATACACATGGTGCTCGGTATCCTTGTCCGAGGGTTGTATGCTGGAAATGCCAAGAATTGGCTGCTCATATTTTCTATTCTTCTGTTTCTACCAGTGAGGTAAGAGGCTGGTTTGTGGAACTGCACAATGATTTCCTGGGGATGAGAGTTGCCTAAAGTAAAGAGGATGGACGGTTGGAACTTGGAAGGGATATAATGCTATTCAAGTTGCTTGCAAGAGGAGTGCAGTTGCATGAGATATTCTTATCCAGAGCCATCAGCGGGGCATCTTGTTTCGTCACTGTTAGTGGGGGTTGAATTCTGTTGCCGGAGAAGCAAGTATGAGCTAAATTTATTGGTAACTAGAGGTGATCTGATAGAGCCTGAAGTTTGGCAAAAAGGGCCTGAGCCACAGTTATATGTACTCTTGCAGCATGCTTTTTCATAGCTCAAACCTACTTACACACTAACAAGGTATTATTTTCTAACTTGATGCTGACGCTCGATTTTCCTGCCTTGATTGTCTGAAATATAGTACGCCCTCTGTCCCAAAATTTTGGGACGAAGGTAATATCACACAAAGAAAAGGATGGTTCTACGTATGAGGTTGTTTACTGGGTGAGCGCTACGGTGTTCTGCCTCATATGATTAGCCTTGCACTTGCACTTTGAATCTTGTGAGTAACTGTGTTGGATTTGAGCCCCTCTGTGATCCGCGGTTGATTATACTAGGGAGCTGTTTGGCAACCCATCAGCTCCGAAAATCCCCAAATCCACGGAGTACCTATTTCCTCGCTCCGCTGTTTTTAACTGCAGCTCCGGCTGAGCGGAAGGACTCCGAACAGGCCCTAGGTTTGCTTTGTGCTGGTCCACGCGCATGCCAGGTCCACGATACATTTTGGGTTTTGTTGGGTGTGGATCCACATAACGAGAGCACCAAATACACCTAATATGCATATTTATTGTTAATAATTGTATCTATCAATCTATGGAGTGCTCCATATTGCTCTAGTGAAAAGGCCAAAAAGGTACCCCCGAGTGGCTGCGAAATCACTACGTACTTTAGTTAAATGATCATAGTTGGTCAGCAAAGATATCTACTGCATCTTAGCTGGTCTGGATGAATGGTTAAATAGGACGACTCTGTCTGGGGTTCGGTATAGTGCTTTTGTTAGGTGTTCGCTTTTTCTGCTGCACTGCTATCAATGGAACCAAACAACTACTTCCTCCGTTCCAAATTACTCGTCACAGAAATAAATATTCTAAAACTAAAATACATCTAAATACATTCGGAGGGAGTAGGAGTCTAGGAGGGCGGTTGTTCCCATGTCAAAGGTTAAAAGCAAATGACTATTTTATCGGTGTCCCAAGCTACTCACACGATTATCACTTAAGTGGAATGAACCAGCGTATAGACTTTGCTTTCGAGGTTTAGTTGAAGTGTAGGATTACTACTGAAAGTGTGAGGGGTGGAATCATGGCAGCACAACAAGTTTTTTTCCTTATCAAAGGAAGCATTATTGTGGTCAGTGATGGTATATAAGACGAAATGTTTCCATTCCCTTTGATAACTATTCAGTCGCCAAAGTCTATAGGAGCGTATACAATCAGGATTGGCTAATTTTGATCCCTAGACGTCTGCGGATGTGCGATGTCAGTTTTGAGCCTCTATTTGTTTATGCACGCAATCATGCCCTCTACATCCTTCTCAAATTGTCCGGTCAAATGTGTGTGATTGATGAAGATGGAGAGAGAAAAGAAAAGAAAGGGAGAAAATAGTCTAGGGTGGGCCACATCCTACGTGGAGGCAGTTGCCTGGACATCCCTTTATGCTTCCAATATTTAGTGTGGATATGGGGATTTGCGAATATCCTGGTCATATGAAGACAAAATAAGAGGTTCCGGTTGGATGACTTTTCTTCTCTTTCCTGTCTGGGACAGTCATCAGGCTGTCCGATTGGACCTTTGATGAGTCCAGTTGTAAATGCTCTAAGATTTGTAAGTGCTATAAAAGAGTTTAGTAGTAAAACTTTCAAAATACGAATTTGTAGAAGGTTGCAAGTTTAATTCATTGTTATAGTGCTAAGACCATTTTTTTAAATGAGCATGAATAACCTGGTGGGCCATGTGTAGATCAGCGTAATTACCTGGTTAGCCTAATTCATTGTTAGTATCCCACTGATTGACCGGGACAGGCTTTTGTGTGTAACTAAAACTAGAGCACATCTAGATGCGCCCTAAACACATTCAATAAATTTTAGTTGTGCATGTTCAGCGTGAACCGGCACTGGTGAAATTGATGTACATCTGAGTATTTAATTAATTAATAACAGGTCATGTGTTGGAACCCCATCTGCCCCAGCTATTTTTAATTATATTTGAGGGTTTTTGTGCATAGTTAAATAAATTGCGCTGGAGTTTTCTGCAAAAAAACAGCATGCTGGTGTCATCCAACGCCTTCTGCACTCCCACCCATTGATTGGTGGGCCGCCCCATGTTGGCATGCCATGTGAGCAGGCCATATGGCTATATACAAGCGAAGTGACTGTATTTACATTAGAACACAAGTTGGATGATCATAAATTTGTATTTTCAAAGTTTAACATTAAACTGAACATCGAACGCAAGTTTTATAACTCCTGATGATATTACCTCATTCACAAATGCCAGAACTCCATTTTTGAGCAGCTTTCCTAGAAATCAACAGAATC